AATTGGCGCAAAATGCGAAAGGACGACCCTTGCTTTGGTAGAGGAAAAGGATTCTACTGAAAATAAAGATGGTTTAAAAATTTTGATAACACGAACTCAATAGCGCAATGCTGTTCGTTCAAGAAGACCTCGATTCACTTGAGAAATGGTACAACACATGAATGCTAAATTTCTCAGCTAGTAAATCATGCATTGTCACACGGCTGCTTAATACCTGAAGAGTCTATCAAACTGAACAATGAACATATCTGTGTGAAACTATCCAACTATGATCTAGGCATACGATACTCTTCAAACTGTAATTTCTCAGAGCAAGCTGAATATCAAATATCACGTGCCAGACGATCTGTGGCTAACATATGCCATAAAATCTATACAACCCCCGCCAGACTCGAGCTTTTCAAAATACACTTCCTGCCCTTGAACAGTGCAGCATCATCTATGGGAACATGTGGATGGGTGACAGGAAAGCTTTAGAAAACCTCAAAGATCATTCACTAAGCGGTTGTTCAGGAAATCAACCAACTTGAGTTATCAGCCAGTAGTGTAAGCTCGAACCCCTTTGGTTGCGACGACTGAAACATAACCTGATGCTTATACACGATCTCATAAACCAAAAGACATACTTCAATCTGTGTACACTTAAAATTCAACATAACTACCCTCGCAATATACGCAACAAGACCTGTATATTATGTGTGCAGAGAACCAGGACAGCTATCCGATCCAACTTCTTCCTCGTCAGATTCGCTGTCGTGTGGAATAGCCTACCAGCCACAATCAGGTCTTGCACAAATGTAAGAGCATTTCATATTCAGCTTAGTAAATTCCGGGACCAGAACTCGATAATGACCATGTTTATTTCGGGTAAATCACCACACGAGTTCTTTCAGGATGAACCACGGAATATTTAATCAATGATTAAAAATGGCACAAAGAACTCAGCAACAAGCAAAGTTACGTGATTCCAAATTATTTTGATATCATACACCCTATATTACATATTTCACTCATGCATGAGCATGATAATTATTGTACCCATGATCTGTCCACAATCCAGGGACAGCTTCTCGTACAATCGAGAAATATACGTATTATTATTATTAGGCTTATTATTATTTTTATTAAAAGTTGCCGATACACCTTACCAACTGTGCTGGGACCCACGCGGTGTACTCTGCGTTTTACAACGGCACTCCTACGACATATCTAACAAGGAAAGTGTTACGGTTGTGAATCTAATGGGTGAACCGCCTGCCTGATGCGTAGTTAGTTGTGGAGTAGAGTATGACAGGGGGCAGTAAAAGTCATAAGGTAGCCTTGTTACCAGTGTTACCAATCTTCGCATGATAGCCAGCATCTTGCAAATGCGCAAGATGTAGGTGTCCGGACTTCACGTCGTGCAGTTCATTACAGAGCTGTAGCAGTGGAGCACTAGTACACACAACCAAAACACTGTTCCTAATGAGACTTAGGTCAAGAGCTAACAATCGCAGCGGCAAGAATTTCCAATAGAGGATGTGTTCTATGGAAAAATAAATCACCACCTTCGATAATTAAAAAGACCAGTGCTGTTCTGAATGCGTATCGAAGTACGCTGACATGCGAGTTGAGTAAGCGCTCACTGGGGACAACTGATGGTCACTGGTCACATGTTCACCAGACCTTACTAGCAGCAGTCAAATCCTCATGTGGTATGTCTAATAGCCAACATGGTTATTGGGTCTGTTCGCAGTCTCTGGAATTTATCGATGCTCGCCGGCATATCCCGGCTGGAAGCGAACACAATGAAACTCGCAAACAGCTCCGGGCAAGACTCCGGGCTAGCCTGAAGAGAGACCGAGAATCTTGGTGGTCTCATCGTGCATCAGAGATGGAAGTGGCCGCTGTCCTGGGTAACTATCGTAAGTTATTCCGGCTAATACGGGAAACGGGCTGCAGGAGACCTGGTGTTAGTGAAACTATACGGTACGTGAGTGGACAGTCTATCCACAACTTGTCAAAATGTTTGGAGCGTTTGGCTGAGCACTTTGAAAGGCAATTTAATCGGCCGGATTTGTTAGATTTCTCGCCGGCCACTGGTCGCCCCACTCCGTGGCTTGTCCCTTTGGATCCCCTGTCTCGCTCAGAAGTCAAACGTGAGATCGGACTGTTGAAGTTAAATAAAACCGCGGGACCAGATGATCTTCCTCCAGCCCTCTTCATATTCGGGGGCCTGCTCTTGTGGATGATTTATACGACTTACTAGTGGAACTGTGGGAGCAGGAAACTGTCCCAACAGACTGGAACCGCTCCGACATAGTCCCAATTTTCAAGCGAGGCTCACAATCGGAATGCGGTAACCATAGAGGAATCAATCTGATCTCCAACGCCTCAAAATTACTCGCCTCCATAATTCTTCACAGATTGACTGGCACTCGTGAAAACCATATTCGCGAACAGCAAGCCGGATTTCGTCAAAGTTGTGGCTGTATTGACCACATATTCACTTAGCGTCAATTGTTGGAACACCGTCACAAATGGTGGCGGCCCACCGTTGCCGTATTCCTCGAGATCAAAGGTGACTTTGATTTGGTGGATCGATGTGCCCTTTGGAACTGTCTACTCAGGAAAGGTGTGCCCGAGAAATATGTGAATATTATCCAAGCGTTATATGCGCGTAGCACGGGCAGAGTGAGGGCTTATGGTAAGCTGGCGCCATCCTTCAAAAATCTCAGTGGTGTGAGACAAGGATGCCCGCTGTCGCCTTTCGTTTTCAACTTCGCTATGGACGAAGTCATGGAGATTGCATTTACAGGACATGATTTGGAAGGTGTGGAGGTACTCCCTGGAGAACGACTTCTTGACTTGGAGTATGCAGACGACACTGCCCTCATCTGTGACAGCTCTCAGACGTGCCAAGCCGCGCTGGACAGATAAGCACTGGCTGTCAGCCGCTTCGGGCTTTGCTTTGCACCATCGAAATGCAAAGCGTTCCTCCAAGATTGGCCTGAACCGCCTCCTACGCTGACCCTTGGTGGGGATCAGTTAGAAGTCGTTCGGAAATTCAACTACCTGGGAAGTTGTATCAGCGCCCTTGGGATCGAAGACGAGATCACGAACCGTATAACAAAAGCTCGAAGTGCTTTTGCTAACCTTCGCCACCTATGGCGGCGGCGCGACATTACACTCGCCCTGAAGGGTAGACTGTACCTTGCAGCGGTACCTTCGACCTTACTGTACGGTTGCGAAATTTGGACCCTAAGATCGGCGGACATAAAGATGCTAGTTACGTTCGACCATCGGTGCCTTTGCAGTTTGGCTCAGCTCTGGTGGGAACACCGCGTGAGTAACGAGCGTGTTCGACGCCTTGTTTACGGCCCAGGAAAAGGGAATGAACCGGTCAGCACCGTCATTTCACGCACCAGGCTCCGATGGCTGGGCCACGTGTTGCGCATGCCCACGACGTGCGTTGCTTGCTCACCGGGGATGTGGATGGAAGAAGAGGAGGGGTGGCCAAGCGATGACTTGGTCAAGAGGAGTGAAGGCTATCACTTCTGTGCTGGCCTCGGTTGGAGCGTCTCGGTTCCCTGTTTGGGGTCCAAAAGACGGTGAACACGTTTGGCTGGATACACTTGCTGGCATGGCAAGGAGCCGACCTCAGTGGCATTCGTGTTTTGAGTTTCTTTGCCCCTCCCCATCCCTTTTAGCCTCCCCCTCCACGTACGATCTCATTTCTTAGCATAAAACATAATTTTCTTTTCTTTTTGCCTAATAGCCGGCTGGCAGCTTACCGGAACGATGCCAATCCGTTGCCGGTAGCTCCGCTGGCATGCAACTTTTGTATTGATTTTCCTTTTTCATTTATGTATTGTGGCACAGTAGCTGAGGTGTTTCCCACCTGTAGCTGACGTGTATAGTGATGATGCACAAGAAGAACTGCAAAAAGCACGACATGATACAGTGATAAGTGAAGGCGAAGGTCGTACCCTAAAACAAGTGTATAGACGGAATAAAAGGGGAACTGACTGAGAAATGCAGCGGGAACAATAAAAAAAGATCCGTTAGCCGTGAACAGCAGACGGACTCAAGCTGGCCCCAGTGAAAGGAACAAGCGAAAATGCTTGAATATATGCCAATATTAAATTGCAGGTGGTGTGCACCATGAGATTACAAGAGGGATGTTGGCCGCTAAAAAACAGCGCATACAGAGAGCACGAAGGTTACGCTCCGAACAACCTCGGAAGTGAGGGAGCAAGTCCGACCACTAGATTTCGAGAAGAACAAACAGCCCACCAATAGATGCCTGATGGTACCGCGGTTAGGTCATTAGGTGACGTCGACGTGCGAACAACGTAACACTGAACAAATCAAAGGCCTAAAATTATCACCACTAAGCCCAACTGAGACAGTCACGAAAAGACGATCTATTAAGTATCTCTCATTAGATCGGAGAAAGATGTAGTGTAAACTTCCACCTCAATTTTACTTGGAAGCTAGAAGACATAATATCCACATAGAGAATTGTAAAGTAATCGGTTCTATTGCTCTCTGGCCGATGTAACTAATTAACCAGTGAGTGAAATACGATCCCAGCATCGAAACAAAATGGCTACGGCTGACACAATAAAATGAAACGAGGAGGGAGCAGGGAGAAAACACAGATGTGGAAAAGACAAAAGAACGAAAATTCTGTGAGCAATAGATGGAGGGGTCAACAGGCGAAAGAAGTACATTGAATTCAGGATCAATATTGGCTTCTCAGCTGCACTCTGTTGTGTATTCGATCACATGCAAGTTACCAATTTCAGCTGCAGCGTAATGGCTCGGAGCGCTGACTAAGATGGTCAGTTTGGAAAATAACAGCCGTGCAACCGAATATGACAGGAAGAAATGAAGTCACACGTCCGTCTAAGTCTCAAATAATGATTGTCTCCAGATATGTTACGAAGCATAATCCGAGGATATCCCCCCTGGGTGAGCTGGTCGCGCCCATAATGTGGTGAACAAAAGATTAACTATGAATGAAATACTGCGACTTTAATAAAAATTGGCAATGAACAAATAAACATTGATTTTTAACTGTATACAAGTGAACTTGGGAGAGGTACAACAAAGGAACGTGAAATAAACGCCGTGCATAAATGCAAAGGAGAAGGGAAGGTGGAACCCCATTGTGCAAACTCTACTTTTCGGATTTTGTGGAATCTGGTACCTTTGCCAACGTCAGTTCATAGCTCTGCAAAGAAAAGCGACATAATGACGCGAATGATTGAAGCTGGGATAAAACGAGATAGACTGGGAGCATATGAATGGAAGTGGGATCGCGGGTAATATTTCCCATTCAGAGCAGCGAACAGATAAATTGATTCATCTAACAAATGTCGTAAAGGGAAAGAAAACTCATGCGAGTGTTGATGATGAAACAACATTCAAACGAAGATACCGTGGCCAAATCGCTGCGTAAAAGAGCAGAAAAAGGCGAAAGAAAGGCACAGTTGAGGGAAGAAAATACCGGGCCGAAACGCAGTGCGATTGACACCAACAGGTGGTACCGGTCGAAGATTTTGCACCAATAAGTGTAGCCCTAATATCGACCAAAAAACCGGGATCCGGTGGTTGTTGCGCGGTTGATCTGTTTACCATTACTCATGCCAACAAAGAGCAGCAGAGAAAACAAAACAGGGCATAAACATTAACAACAAGAATGGTGCGACGGTATTCAGAAGTGCTATAAGCTCCTGAGTGCATTATGTCCGACAGGGTTTCCAACCAATGTTCAGTTCAGTCGAAAAGCTAGAAATAACCTAACCAGTGTCACCATGATCTGTCATTTCCATCAGTGGCCACCTTGAGGTCTCTACCAACCACGTAAAATGTTGACCAGAACACATTCACCGGGGTAGGTACTTTTGTGGGTTCATGTTTAACAAACCAACTAACCGATGCGATGCCAGTGGGGCTGCTGCGAAATGCTAATTAGTGGACACCGGCAGTAATCGCCTGGCGACGTACTAAACAAAACATGGAGCAGACGCCAATGGTTAAGGTGCAGCATTCACTTGAGCTGCGAAACACAAGGTCGCCGGTTCCGTCCAGTACGGTTGCAGTGGCCCACTGCAGTGGTAGTAATTTGCAGTCTACATAATCTACACGGAAGCTGATATCTCAATATCTCCATGAGTGAAAAGATGTGAAAAGCCATACGAGTGTTGTTGATACGTGAGGTAGTCTCATCAGGGATTTGACCAACAGGACTGCTAAAACTGCCGAGATAGTTTCAGTGATCAGCACATTCCAGCGGGTGCTCACAGAGAGCCGGAATTCGTAGTGTCAGTTAAGTTCGATAACAGTACCTTGAACTTTGAAGGCGTTAAGAAGATGCCGAAGAGTTCGTCATGACGCGTCAATGTATCCAGAAGTGCCTCTATAGAAATCGACCTAAAGAGATCACTCTCGTCCGCCTATTCTACGCCTGGCAGTCGGTAGCTCAGCAAAACCTGCAGATCAAAACAGGCCGAGGATAGGGAGTACAGGTCAACTCCAATGGACCTTGCTTGTCGTGTGAATTTAGAGACGGCTTTCCGCAGATCCTTATTAAGCCTCAGCGGTCGCGATGGAAAACTAAAAGAGAAAAGCTTTCTCAGTAAGCCATTCAATGATAGCGCAGAAAACTTAGCTTAGTCAAGCATACATGTTGACGATAGCGGACCGGAACAAACCATTCGGGTACACACAATACAGGTACCAAACAAAAAACTGGAACACCAACTCCAAGTATGCGCCACCAAGCAGCAAAAATCACTTAGACAGTAACATCCCCCATAACTAGATATTGTAAAATTGGAAAGGATAGATAGTGGTAGCAAGAAGAGCATCCCGTGAGAAACACACGAGTGAGGCCACTACCATATTGGTCGATTCTTAGACGTCAGACGAACTCAGTCCCCTGGAGCGTAGGACTGAGCATTTTGAAAAGTAAATTAATCGGCCGGAATTCTTAGATTCCTCACCGACCAGAGACCGCCTTGTTCCCTGGACTGTCGTTTTGGATTCAATCCCTCGCTCAGAAGCTGAACGTGAGGTCGGACTGTTGGAGTTGAATCAGGCCGCGGAACCAGCCCACTTCAAATCCGGGAGGAAGAAGGTATCAGCAGTACGCCGTACCGACGCTTCACTGCTGTGCAACCACCACCAGTCGCACGTGGGATAAGGATACTGCGAGAGTCGCCTGGTCCCTACGCAGGCTGGAACCGGCACTCTCGGATTGCAAGACAGACTTGTAATCCACAAAGCTACAGAAGCACTGTTGCGGTTGATAATTTGCACGAAGTATTAATGAAACTGTGGGAGAAGGAAGCTGTCCCAACCGACTGGAGGCGCTCCGTCACAGTCCTAATCTTCCAGAGAGGCTCCAGTTCGCAATACGGCTACCATAGAGGAATCAGTCTGATCCCAATCGCCTCCAAATTGCTTACCTCTGTCATTTTTTACAGACAGACTGGCAACCGTTAAAGCTAGATATGCGTGGAGCAAGCCGAGTTTCGTCGAGGTCGGGGTTGCATTGACCACATATTCACTTAGCGTCAATTGTTGGAACACCGTCACAAATGGTGGCGGCCCACCGTTGCCGTATTCCTCGAGATCAAAGGTGACTTTGATTTGGTGGATCGATGTGCCCTTTGGAACTGTCTACTCAGGAAAGGTGTGCCCGAGAAATATGTAAACATTGTCCGAGCGCTTCACGCGCATAGTCCGGGCAGAGTGAGAGCTTACGTCAGGCTGTCACAGCCCTTTAATTTCTCCAGCGGTGTAAGGCAAGGATGCCTACTGTCACCTTTCCTCTTCAAGGTCGGTATTGATGAAGCCAAGGAGATCGTATTCACAGGACACGAATTAGAAGATATGGACCTGCTCCCAGGTGAATTGGAATATGCTAACAATATTGCCCTCATCTTTGAAAGCTCACAAACGTATCAAGTCGCACTAGACAGATCCGTGCACCATTAAAGTACAAAGCCATCCTCCAAGATTGGCAGGGACGACCTCCAGCCATGACTCTTGGTGGGGATCAGCTAGAAGTCGTTCGAAAGTTCAACTACCTAGGCAGTTGTATAAGCGCCGATGAAACTGAAGACGTCACAAACCGTATAGCAAAAGCACAAGGCGCTTTTGCTAATGCTCGCCACCTGTGGCACCGGCGCGACATAAATCTCTCCCGTACTTTCGACCCTACTGCACAGTTGTGAAACCTGGCTCATTAGATTAGTTACGTTCGACCATCGGTGCTTCCGCAGCCTAGCTCATATCTGGTGGGAACACCGCGTGAGCAACGAGCGTGTTCGACGCCTTGTTCGTGGCACTAGAAAAGGAAATGAACCGCTCAGTACCGTTATTTCACGTACCAGGCTCCGATGGCTGGGTCATGCGATGCGCATGCCAGCCCACCGATTCACGTGACGTACGTTGTTTGCTTACCGGGGATGTGGATGGAAGAGGAGAGGTGGTCAAGCGATGACTTGGTCAAGAGGAATGAAGGACCTCATTTCGAAGCTGGCCTCGGTTAGAGTCTTTCGGCTCCCTTGTTGGGGCCCGAAAGACGATGAACACGTTTGGCTGGATACACTTGTTGATATGGCTAGGAGCCGATCTCAGTGGCGTTCGTGCTGTGAGTTCCTTGTCCCACCCCTTCCACTTAGCTTTTCCCTCCAATCCCGATCTGATTTCCTAGCATATTAAAAATTTTGGATAATATAACTTTTTGTGGAACAATAGCGCCTGGTAAATTTCCGGAACGATGCCAATCTGGTACCTGTGGTCCAACTGGTGTGCCTCGGTTGCAGGTTTTGTTCCTTTTGTTTACATATTGTGGCACAATAGCTGAGGTGTTTTCCACCTAGAGCAAACGGGTACAATGATGAATGATGACGATGTGTCCGATTTGTCCTCGCACAATTGGTTGCACGCATCCGGAGAAGCTGATCAAGCTGGAGTGGGCATTGTTTGCAGGTCCTAGGCTGAGTCATCGTTGGTTGATTGGATCCCCGTGAAGTGCCATTTGTGTGCAGTCCGTTTGACATCAACTAAGGTTGATTCTCGAAGCAACGCTAGACGTCGTTTGTTTGTGACTTCCCCTTATGCCCCCACCGATTGCAACTCTAATTCTGCGAAGGACGCCTTCTATCCCGAACTAAACACGCTACTATGCAGTGTTACCAGTTCAGATATCATAGTTCTTGCAAAAGAAATGAATGCACAAATAGGTCATATGAGCAATTCAGAAGATCTACTAGGTGGTATGTATGAACTTGATTCCGACCGTACGGACAACGACGAGCGAGTGTTACAGCTGTGTGCAGAGCACCAGCTGTTTCTTCGTAGTACCGCTTTCAGACACAGTGGGCTCGGAGTGTCACTTGGCATTCTCCTGTAGCTGACCAGCAACGGACCCAAGTAGATCACATTGCCATAAATTACACGTGGCGTGGTTCTATCATGGATTGTCGCTCATTCTGAAGTAATTAAGTCGACTCTGATCATGTTTTCGTATGCTGTCGTTTTGCCATGACCCTCATCGGGAGGCGTACCATGCGTTTCCCTCGATTGGCAACTGAGGAGTTATTTCAGCCCTCGGTCAAACAAACCTAGCAGGGTGCGCTGCGTACCGAACTTTCGCTCACTTGTCCTAATGACACTGTTTCAATGGAATAGGATCTCGGCCGCCACGCACCATGCAGGGGCCTCGACTTGCGGCACTGTTAATCGTCACCGCATCAGTCAATGGATATCCGAGAGGTCGGTGAACCTGTTGGAATCCAGAAGAAAAGTTCCGACTGGCTCTAAGCACAATGTAACCAGACAGGCTAATAAAGCGCCAACTAAAGCGGAATACGTGTGCTGACAATGAAGCCTGGTGGACCAGTAGGGTTCAAAATGGAGGAAACAGGAGCACTAGGCAATTATCGAAAGCTCTTCTTCCCAGAAAACCTGGCATTAGCGAGACAGAAAGCGCGGGTGCCCGGATTCACAATACGGAGTGAAGTACAGCTCGTTGCGCTGAGTACTTTCGAGAGCAGTTCAGTTGCCTCCCTGATTCTGGACCTCTTCCTACTCAGGAGCTGCAAGCTCAGTCATGACCAGTTAGTTTAGAGACTCTACTGTCCGAAACGTGATCTCAGCTCTTAATCATTTTCATGCTGCTGACGCGGATTCACTCGCACCCGCACTAGTTAAGGATGG